TAAATCGTAAAAAGACAGAATATAGGGTTGTCAACAAGCGGAACCTCCCAGGATACAATCTACGAATTCGAGTTTCAAACGAGTACGAAAAGATAAAAAAGGTAACACCGAAATTCAAATGTGCATTGGAATAGCTAAAGGTGCCTTCTAAAAATTAAGCAGGGCATTAAGAACCAAGAAAATGTAATAATAAACATAGAAAAGAATGCTCAACTGCTACGCAATATCAGTTGTCTTATATGGTAGAGAATGCTGGAGAATTTCCTCAAATATGGAAAGGATATATGAGGCAACAGAAATGTTATTCTACAGAACGATGCTGAGAATTCAGTGTAAGGGGCATGTGAATAAGTATTAAGTTTTAATTATACCTTTTTGGAATCAAGATGATCCCTGGATTGAAAATCTGATCTTCATCTGATGCTTAAATATCCAGCATTTGGGATTGGTGTCCGGATGAGGAAGGAACAGTTAAAAATTCAAATTTTAAAATAACTGAAAAGAATTAGTGATTTTAAAAGTTTTTCATTTATATTAAGTTTAAAATAACACAGAAACTATGTGGATTTTTTTTTTGTTTTAAATTCAGTTTAAAATATCTCCAAAACTTTGTGAATTGAAGAAATCAATTTTATTTCCTCAAAATGCCAAGGAAATGCCAACTTAAAGTGAGAGGGTTCATGATATGAGACTTTGAAGTTCCACAGAGTTTGTAATTTGAAGAACTCAGTTGAAGTTTCACAGAGTTTGTGATTTGAAGAACTCAACTGACCAGGATCAACTTCCAGTTCGTACGGGAACCGATGTTTTAACAACCTATGGCCATAAGCCTGTTATTGAGACAAATATGAAACCTCTTCTTTCCATGTTTACGTAATCACGCCAGTCAAACTAATCATGGTGCACAATGGTTGTAAGTCGATCAGAGGAAGTTTTATTTTGTTTTGTTTTTATTTTTTTATAGTAAGGTTCATTCTTTACAAGCCACTGGAGGTAGGGGGTTACATTAAGAGGTAGTCTATCTGGATAGGAGGGGAAAATAACGGTTGACTGTAGACTTGAACAGGTTAAGATTGTAGTGATCGAAGGGAGTTTGTTCCATAGGGTAGTGGATCGCGGGAAGAGGCTGTTTGAGTGGAACTTACTTCTCACCAATGGAATACGGAGGGAATGTGGGTAGTCTGCTACTATGAATGTGGCACGGCCGGTCCTAGCCGTGAATTTCAGACCTAGTGGAATCAGGAGACGCAGTTCGTTTGAGCACTATCCATGATAGTAGCGATAGAGTAGAGAAAGGCTCGCCACACCCTGCCTTTGTGAGAGAGAGAGAGAGAGAGGTTGGAGGGTAGAAACTAATTCTTCTCCAACAAGGACTCGGAGACGCTTCTGAATTCTATCAAGACAGGAAAGTGAGGTCTGGATAGCTCCCGCCCAAATGTGGTAATAGTACTACATTTTCGGCTTGATCTGGCTCTTATGAAGGTAGTGTAAACAATACTGGATGTATGTTTCCTGATATTTCGTCAGCTTTGTTCGAGAAAGTTTTTTTTATCAATTTACCCCAAGCAAGGTACGAAGATGCAACAAGTGAAAAGAACCTGATTGTTTTAAATTATTTTACCGGTATTCATATACCGACCACTGAGGCCAGGAGAGATATGTAATTGTCACTGAGCTTTCGTTTCCTATTACCGATAAGTTTGGACACTTCGACGTGGTGTAATGGTTAGCAAGCTTGTCTCGCTACATCAATTACGAGTGAGTAGTGAGTTCGATCCTTACTGTAGGCCGCATACTTTCGGCCTTGTACTACATCTATGCTACGCTTAGGAAATCATTTGTGACCTTTAGCTTGGTGTAATGGTTAGCAATCTCGTCTCATTAGATTTATTACGACTGAGTACTGAGTTCGATCCTCACTGAGTGTTGCATGTATTCGGTTTTGTGCCACACCTAAGTTACGCTTAGAAAGTCATCATATTGGCGTCAACTCATTGACCAACCTTGGAGTAATTGTTTCCTATGTCCTATAGTTGTCATTGATAAAATAAACACGGTACTTAATTCACACCAACAAAATGGATGATCTGGAGTCACTCCCGGTCAACGAATGTAGAAATACGTGACGTCCCTTCATCCGGGTTTACCGGCGTGGAAATGAGAATATTGGGCGGATGGATATATAAACAACCGCCCTTGAAATGTTTGGAACCCGTCTCTCATACACTGTCTTTTGTACAATGGCTCTTGCAGCCGCATCTACACACTAGTCAGGGTAAGTTAAGTCAAGTGTAAGTTAAGTCAGGGGGTGAATCAATTATAATTCTTCATATCAGAGTTTTAGTCTCATTTTATCATTTTTTCGTCACGTTCACTGCATTACAAATGTATATGTATGGCGATTTTCTAAGCGTAACTTAGGTGTGGCACAAGGCCAAATGTATGAAGCACCCAGCAAGGATCGAACTCAGTCGTAATTGTTCTAGTGATAAAAGCTTGCTAACCATTACGCCAGGTCGAGGTGCCCAGTGATAAGCGTAGCTTAGATGTGGCTCAAAACTGAAAGTATGGGGCACCTAGTGAGGATCAAACTCGCGACTCAGTTGTAATTGTTCTAGCGACACATGTTTGCTAACCATTACATCACGTCGAGGTGCTCAATAATTTTCTAAGCGTAGCTTAGAAGTGGCTCAAGGCCGAAAGTATGGAGCGCCTAGAGTGGATCGAACTCACTTCTCAACCGTTCAAATATATGTGCATACATGTGTATGCCTAATTGTGTCTATAATTTTTGTGCCAAAATTAATAATGTATTTGAATCTACGTGGATGAATGTATTTTTTTATATGTGTGTATCTTTATGTATACTTATCTCAAAAGTAGCTGTTTGTATATGCATGTTTAGGTGTGCGTACGTGCAAATGCTTATGTGTACGTGAGAGGATGTGATGTTGCTGACACAAATAGATTATCATATTTGTAGGTCGATAATTATCATGAAGCAAAATGCTTCAAATCTTGTTCAATCTTGCATAAAATTCAACATTCAATTCCTTGCCAGAAAGAAAGGAAAATATGGGGGAGGGTGACAACTTGGGGGAGGGTGACAAACGAGCCATCAGCCTTTTGAGCGTCCACACTCCCATCGGGATGTGACAATACCGAAAAGCTAATTTCCCCAAATCGCAAAAGGTAATGCTGGTTACCCATGCGATTCACTGAGTTTGTTACACATGCTCAGTTTTAAGTCGATAAGCAAGAAACCAACTTTGCTGCCACCATAACTCTAACTTTCAACACTCTTTCACTCGCTCCCTTTCTCTCTCTCTTTCTCTTTTTCTCTCTCTCTCTTTCTCTTTCTCTCTTTCTCTCTCACTCTTTCTCTCTCTCTAAATGTGCGACGGACAATCATTCATGTTCATTTAGCGATAAAAAAAATGTTGCCTTCGACTTAGTGAGTCTCAACTACCGTGCCGAAGAACACTAGTGTGTTACACGATCCTCTTAAGTGTGCCGTGAAATATTGTCATGGCATACATATATATGTGTCTGTTAAAGTAGTAGTAATCGTACAGCGTTAGTATTTGAATAAATGAATAAGTATTAAACATTTTATCCCACATTAGGTAAAAAGGCTTTATCAGTTTTATTGCAATTTTATACATCTTATTTATGCAAATTAAGCTTCTCAACCTTAAATAAAATCAAAAATAAGAAACGAGAAAGTCTGTACTCAAGAAGAAACGAGGGTCTGTTTATAGGACATTCAACCAAACGTTGAAGAAATTATGAAAAGGCACCAGGCACAGGTTTCACTAAATAAGAGGCACAAATAGAATAGATTTCATATTTGTGTGTATATATTTTCATAAGATTTAAATGTATACTCTTTAAATAATTTTGCTAAGTGTGTCGGAATATTTTCTTTTTACGCCTGAGTGTGCTGTTGCTTAGAAAGGTTGAAAAACACTGCCTTAGACTTAGTGATTGTAGAATTCGTAGATATTTTGAAAGCATTTGAAAAAAAAAGCATACGCTAGCTAGATAGATGCTGCTGATGATAATGATGACGATGATGATGATGTTGAGGCTTTCACGTCTAAAGAGAGATGTTCCGTTAAATTTAAAACCGTTGATTTCACATCTTCCTACGATTCTTTCTGAATATGGTAAGATAAGTCAAGTCAAATAAATAACTCCAAAGTGTTGGGGTCCATTTCTTTAGCTTAAAAACCAAAATGTTGTATCTTGTTTCTTTTATTAGCTGGCGTTATCTCTTTGCGGCGAAATTTAAAGAGGAAAGAAATTAGCCGATTAAGGACTATATCCCTTTTTCTACTCTGCTTTTCAGTCTCATTAAAATATATAGGCACATACATATACACACACGCGCACATATATATAGTCCTTACATATGTATATATATATATATGTGTGTGTGTTTATCGAAATAGGCAAATTTTGCATATTTTATTATATATATATGTATCAAAATAGACAAATTTCGCATATATATATATATATATATATATATATATATAACGTCATCCACAGACAGACTGTTTCGCAGCTCATCAGTGTGGCTAGACATCCGGTTGCCTCTAGCTAGGATCGAAACCCGACTGAATTGGTGTCAGTCGGAGATTCTAACCAGTAAGCCGTCGGTAGTGGTGAATGTGGATTTTTAGCGTATTTATTTTTAGAAACACGCCCAGTGACCGACAGTGACTCAATTCGCATCTGCGAAGAGTCTCGCTATAAAGCTATAATAGTCACTGTTTACCAACAGAGAGCTCAACTAAAATTGATATTTCAGGAGCCAATATATATATATATATATATATATATATATATATATATATATATATATATATATATATAGGCAAATATATTTCAGGAGCCAATATATATATATAAAGGCAAATTTCTAATCGCTACTTAAGTTTCACGCTCACTCGATCGTCAGGCGACCAGAACGTTACACTAACCTCTGCGCTTAAGGCCACATCACGTTGAAACACCGGTTCCCGTAAAACCAGAGAAGTTAAGTAACGTCGATGCTGGTCAGTAACTTGATCGGTGACCGCTTGGGAATACCAGGTGTTGTAAGCTTTGATGTTTGGGGGGGGGTAATGGATAACAGCTCGGAATTGTTAATCGGAGAGCCGAGTTATAATTCTAACTGGGTTCATTATATTTACTGATGCGCAAATACTCTTAGAAAATATATGAATTCACCTGTTCTCCCAGCTTTGGCTTAATTAATAAGACTTGTACTATCGAAATCATTATTTAAAAAAACAAAATATAATTCTTAGAATCTTAAAATATGTTCGAGCTTTAAATAACCTGGAAAGGGTTGATAAACCTTAAAAAACGAATCAATAAATCAATCTAACCTTTGCTCGCCTGAAGATCGCGGAAGTGTGAAACGTAAGTAACGATCTGAACTTTGTCTTTTTTTTCAGCTATGATGCTATGAAGCTTTTTTGCTCTTTCTTAATAACCTAAATATCGAGAACTATTGGTTACTGTGTAGGTAAATGTCTGCTTCATATTTTTTCTTTATTTATTTTACAGTTCTTGTAAAGGTTTTCTTGATTTTTGTTGTTAATAAATTGATCTTTTTGCTATTTTTGAGTTTTGTTTTCTATAGGTCTCCTGGGAGGCTTTCTATTGGTTGTACCAACACTTTTGATATATATTAATTACTTAATATAATTATTTTACATCAGTTTAATTATTCTATCACATCTACAATCGAATATATATATATATATATATATATATATATATATATATATAAATAATATATGGATATAAATCCGACAGTATGAAAGAAAAACCTTTCGTAGAAGGAGCTTAATAAGATCTTTGGCTTCAGCTGACAAATGATCAGGAAGGTCATATTCAGCTTGAATGACGCGATCTAGAGTTATCTGTTTGAATTAGTTGGGCTCTTATGTCCATCGTCTTTTGTGTTAAATTGTTATAAGTTATAATGTTAATTATGTTTAAATGAAAATGTCCATGAAGATGGTCTTAAATAGACCGAAACGTCCGACGTCGACTTTATTTTAACATTAATAATGCATATTCAGAATTTTGTTTTTTCTGTATTTTTCTTTCATATATATATATATATATACACACACAAAAAAGTGGAAAAAGTTTACTTGCGACACGTTTCGTCCTTCAGGACTTCATCGCACTAAATTTTCTATGTCGTTAGGACTACACATTTTAACTTCTTTTTTTTATCTAGCCGAATTCATTTAGTCTTTTTCTTTCCATCGCTTTCTTTTTTGTAAGTAGGTATTCCACACTGTGATATTAGAAGATTTGCCGGAAATGATGAAATGTAAGAGCCACGGCGTAAATTAACTGTAAGGCACTCTCTTAACATTTACGTCATAATGAATCATTTTTTCCTTTGATCAGAGTAGCATTTTTATGTCAAAATTGTGGTCAGTCTAGTTACGGTAGACAACCAACACATTTGACATATTATTTTGTAAAATGTCCCTTTTGTGTTCATATAATCTTTTATTTGGATTCCTTGAGGTTTCTCCTATGTACTTTTTGTGACAATTATTACAGGCGATTGAGTAAACTCGTGCAGGTTTTAGCTTATTGATTTGTTTAGTATTGACTAGTTTTTTTATTGTTTTGGATGTTGTAGTAACAACTTTTATGTTGAGTCTAGTTAGATTCTTTTCGATTGTAGATGTGATAGAATAATTTAACTTATGCAAAATAATTAAACTGATGTCAAAAATATGATTTTAAAAAGAATATATATATGTATAACCATAACAAACACTCGTCTTATTATTTAAAATAAGTTTTTAACTGTTTAAATACAAAACCTTATTTGGAAAAAAAATTAAATTTCGGCATTAAATTATCCAATCGGCTAAATGCCATAAACAAAATCAAACCAAACCTCGCTATTAATACCCTGTTTTGGCATTAATGGTGTGGTAATATTTATATGTATTTTGTTGATATTTATTAATATGAAAAAATATATTTATAAATATTCATATTTGTTTTTGAATTTTTTAAACTAAAAAACATTTTTTAATATATTTTATTATTTAATTTTTAAGCCGTGAAGTGGGAAAAGAAAACAAATTGTGGGAAAATAGTAAAAAGTTCAGGATTATGCTCAATTCGAAATATTTGAGCATGTCTTAAATTTTACTCTGATGATAGGCTTTGTTAATAAATCAGCGACATTTTGTTCTGACGGAATATAGGCCAAATTCATTGTGCCATTTTGCCCTTCACGCCTTGTAAAATGATACCCTATGTCAATGTGTTTTGAACGTCGATGATAAACGAGATATTTAACTAAAGCTATATTCCCTTGTTTGTCACAATGGATAGTGGTCTACTCATTTTCATTTAATTTAATCATAGTATTATATAATTGGATAAGCAACTTTGCTTCTTATATTGCGGCTGAGAAAGCAATATATTCCGCTTCACATGTTGACAATGCTACTGTAGGTTGTTTTCTTGTTTTCAAAGAGATCATTGAACTGTTTGACGATAATTGAAAACTATACACTGTGATACTGTAACGATCATTCAAATTTTCCAGTCACAAAAGCTTCTTAAATTTAAAGGCTTATTAGATTTATTGAGAACTAGACAGTATGTTTTTGCGTTTTTTAAATAACGTACGACTTGTTTGGCTCTTATCAATTGATCCATGGTCAGAGTAGCTGAATATTGCACATTGCCCTTGGTAAGTAAAATATTTACAGGTATCGTGCTTGAGGATATGTAAGTAATTTGTGCGGTGGTAAAATCGATAGCGACTCGGAATGAGAAATCGGAGAGCCGAGTTCAAATCTCAGTCGAATTCGTTACATTCACTTAGATCTCTCCTCCCAGCCCCAGCTATGAGCGCATAGCGGGACAGACTGGGATCATAACCTGTTGAATAAACGGGAATTTTACGTGGGATTTCCGAAATTCCCAGTAACAGCAATAATAAAAATAAGTAAACAGAGCAAAATAATACAAGAAAGATACAATGTAATACAAAGCAAGGCAATTATAAGAAAAGTAAAGCAGTTAAAAGGTAGTAATAAAGAAACAGTTTTCATGTATAAACGGGATACAGTTCAGTCTTTATAGCCTTCTTACTTCAAAACAAGAAAGTAAAATGTGTGGATGCGACCAATAATTGCCTATTTTTATTGACTAAGAAGAAATCCTAGCAACACAACAGGTTATGAGCCCGGTACCGTTTATCTATAAACTTAGTTATGAAGGATTTATATCAGTCATTCTCACAGATTGGAAGCAGCAGATGTAAATTTTCGGGATCTATTTTTATGCGAAATTTATCCTGTGACTTTCAACTCATGATACTTATTAAAAATATTAATAATAACCTTTTTAGAAAATTTCAGGTTTTATTATTTAAAGTGAAATATATATATATTTTTATTTATGAGTAAATCAAAAAAAGAAAGCTATAAATATATATATCTGTATGCGTGAATAAATTATTATTTTATAATTTTACGTGTTAATATGGTTTGCTGGTTCGAATCTGCGTGGGAATGATTGCAAAATACTTTCCTCTCCAATTCCTAAGCAGAAGAGCATAAATGCATGCTGGGATTTTCCTAACCATTAAAATAGACCGGTTCTCGGCTTCATCTAACTCAGTTCCGGCCTGTCTTGTCTTGAAATCAGAAAGTTCGCTTGTCCGGATTTGCTTTTGTGTGCCAATCCCAATTTATAGTTAGTGAAATTTTTGTCATATTACTGTTGCTTTGCCTTATTACTGTTAATTTGCCTTGCATATATTGCTTTCTTGCCTTATTACTTTAGCACTGTTTTTTTTTTCTTTTTCTTGTTATTGTTTATTATAAACTTTGCAAATTCTGTTTGTTAGGCACTTCTACCATTTATTTACATTTAACCATGACCACTCACTATACATGATTTCTTTAAAATCGATATCTTTCATCAGGCATTTTTGGTTTTGTTCATTTTTGCACTAATTCAAAACAGTTTTATTGCTTCTTGGGGATCTTCTTTGCTGGAAGATTATTTTCCATTCTCCTTCACATCTTTTTTACTTATAGGTCACAAGTTTTATATTGGATTACTATCTGGAGAAGCTGGGAGCCATTACTAGTAATTTGGTGTCTTTGAACTTTTCGTGGCAAGGTGGGCAATAATCAGCTTTATAGAATGTGAAGGATCATTGTTTTGAATTAATATACTCACCTACTCAAAGCTTGTTGCTTTGTTTACCTGCACTTCTAAAAAAAAAAACTCTTTCAAGAACTTACAATGATGTTGTGCATTAATATTGATAGCATCATCAACTTTGAAGGAACCTAGAGTTCGACTGTCTATAATGTCAACTTCAAACATCAGGGTAATAGGCTCCCATATCATGTCTGACTCCAAAGTTAATATAAGATGAACGTCTTTTTGGTGGCAAAATGTTCTTTTCTTTGCAATTTGTGTATAAATTACTTATTCCTGTCTTAGTAAGTCCGACAGGTCTGGCAAAATAAAACTGGCTGCTGCTCTCGAAAATTACTTCCAATCAATTGTTAACTGAGTCAGAAAATGACTTGTAAATTTTAACACCTCCAAAACGAAACTTCTATCTTTTAATCACCATAGAGAGTCTTTTTTGCCTTCCATCAGAAGATAAACTCATTTCACCTTCTTGGTCTCACGTCTCCCACTGACATGTGTTATTATATTGAATCAATAGCAAGGTCTAAGTTGGTTCACTGTGTCGTGGCAGATAATTTTTCTCACCAGAAACCATCTTGCATATTTATAAATCTACCATTCGCCCATGCATTGAATATTGCTGCCATATCTGATCTGGTGATCCTTCCATATACCTTAAGATTCTCGACAAAATCCAAAGAAGGATTTGTAATGTTATTGGTCCTAAGCCAGATAAAAGCGCTACTTCTATTCTAACAATTTCTTTTCTCGCATTCCTTGTCTGTGAAACTCTTGCGGTTTCTTGTCTTCATGTCACCTTCATTCTTCAAAGATTTAAATACAACGCAATTCCAAGTCTTCCGTCTTTCCAAATTTCGTTCTTTTATTGTCTTTCATCGTCTTCTTTCACGCCCACTAACCCCTTGTGTGTTGATGATATTTTCGCCTTGCTTGCGGTGAAATGATTAAAAAATATCGATTCTGCGTTCCAAGAAAAGTTTGAATGACACCTGGGGATACTAATGACTGTTGGAAAAAAACTGTCACATGGAAGGACAACATTTGCAGTATTCTTTGTCAAGTGAATATGACGCTACATAATCGTTAGTACGTGACAAACACATGATATATGTCCTCCCAATAACCTGCCTCACAGTTAAGAAAATGACGTTATGACAGCACATCCGCAAAGTTACAAAGCCGTTACAGGTTTTTTGTACACTAACCACAACCTGTTTGCAACGTTACTTTGTAGCGTTACAAATATGCTACGTGTAATGTTAATTAACAGATAATGGATAATAAATTCCAGGAAGGTATTAGAATGTGCTTTCATCGTCGAAATTTTATACATTCTGATATAATGGAATATGCGTACACCTGTGTTCCCCCTCACTGGAATATGATTGGCTGGTGTTCGTCATAAATACAGACGGACGTGTAGGAGAGTTAGAGCTTTAGTCTGAGAGCTAAGTCTATACGACGCCCATTGGACTACGCTTTTGATCTACACTTCTTAACTGCGACTACGACGCGTACCAGTCGATTACTGCTACCGTATTCTACTTGGTTACAGTAGCCAAAACCATTTAGCTACTTCGTTCAAATATATCCCTTTCCGGGACATATCACATTCTTTACATGTTATTAAGTGAAGTAAACGTATTCTTATGTTATTTGACAAGCGTGGAATGTTTCCCTTATAACACTTAACGTTGTAAAAACGTTGGACTTGAGCGGTCAATTTGGGGTTAGTGAAATTGTTCTGTTACCACAGTGTAGCACTTCTATTGTATTAGTTTCCCTTTCTTTGTCTCGATTTTTAATTTAGGTACATTATATATTAGTCACCGTTTTTTACCACTACCTGTTTAGCCTATGCCAATTAGCGGAACCGTCACAATAAACCACAGGGGTTCAAAGCACGCGGTTCCTACTTTAGTATCCTTCTATATCTACCCCTACGACAACATCGCCGGTACGTACCTCTCTAAACTTCTTTTTGCATTGGTCTCATTTAATATATTATTATTTGAACATTTATTTAAAGTAGCTACCTTTGACTACATTTATTTTACTGTTCTGCTATATCATGTCGAACAGCTTTCAACATGTTTCGACTGTTTATACCCTGTTCTCATAGTGTAGCTTCATGTAATATTTTTTTCTTTCTGAGAACTTATCAGTGCAAACTTTATAAAATACTAGCAGTAGAGCTCGGCGTTGCCCGGGGATGTAACAGTAAGAGATAGATCAAGTATCGACCATCATAAAGACTGAAAAATAAAATTGACAAAGATTATTGTTTAAGGTTGACGGACACGCATGTCTTAATTAATTTTATTTTTATTTTTTTTTTTTTTTTTTTTACGAATTGGTCAAACCCAAACTCAAACAAAAACATTGCTTTCAATCGTTATGAGTCTACTGATTGAATAGAATTTTTCAATTTTATTATAAACAATTGTTTTGTAAATGGAATTTTTAAAGCATTCTGAATGTAAAAATAAAGAAAAAAGTGTGCAAGAGAATAGGAAACACTACCTGCCAAAAAAAAGTGAAGTTTTGTTGAAATCGGTTGAAAAATGTAGGAAATCCGCTCCCATATATAAATGAACACACACACACACACATACACACACACATACACACACACAAACAAACAACCTGGGTTTTATAATAAGTATAACTCGATATGAGTTGTCCCCCTTTCATTCTCGACAGCGATGCCTCTTAATCGTGTTATCAAATTGATTTCGTGCAAAAACAATTGTGTTTTTTTAAATTTTTGGCTCTGTCAGAACCACCGCAAGGTAATTTTACGTAGTCCTGTGAAGTTTTGTTGAAATCGGTTGAAAAATGTAGGAAATCCGATCTAATATATAAACGTACAGACACACACATACACACAACCTGGGTTTTATAATAAGTATGATTCATGTACTCAAACGACTTGCTATCTCCTTTCACCGTTTAGACCCACGGTCTCAAAGCTATGTTCGCATTCAGTCCCCTTTGTCATATTTCTTCTTTTAATTCATTTTCCGATGTTTATTTATTTTGTTATTCAGACTAAACTAGTCTTAACTTTGTATTTGTTTTTTTTTCTAGTTTCAATCTTTTGGCTTTTAATAAACCTGCTGATGAACAGAATTTTTCTTTGGAGTTTTAATTGCCGTAAGTCGTTTACCTGGTTGTCTCGGGTACGCACGCGTACCGGGAGGCAGAACAAAAATAGTTGATTGCAACAGTTGTTATAGTAACGTCACCTCAATAACATATATCTCCCAACCAACAGGCAAAAGTATTTGCTACAAGAACGTTCCGTGTTAGCTGCGAGAGTATTAACATCATTTTGTTAGAAGAGAAAGCTCAACTGTTTCACTGTGCTAATAACAGCATAAATGTCGGACTAAAATAAGCAAATTGATTAACGAGAACCAATGTGAGAACAAATACCATAGTATGTAGGACTTCCTTGTCGACACAAGCTACGAGAAATATAGAAGAGAAAGAACGTCATTTGTATTAGATCAGATATTACAGAACATTGCCTCGCCTTTCCGGTCGAAGTTCATGTCCGCCACTCAAACTCTTGACATTGTAATCTGGCCAGTTAATTAAAATCTTACATCACAGAATAATAATACTTTTCGGGAATATGACAACTGAATTCATAAATATTTGCTGTAAACTTGTAAACACAAGAGAAAATATATGATGAGACTGAATTTTTATTTGATATAACTATAATATGATGGAAACCAATAAAGTCTAGGGTAACGTAAGGTCCTTTTGTTGGGCACTTGGTCAGTGGTAAGGACATTACAACCCTGAACGAAATCATACTTGATACAAGGGTCATCATCTGATGAAAACATTGTTGGAGCACAATTCTATTATTTTTCACATTATCATGTTCTTTCTATCTATCTATCTCTCTATCTATCTCTCTCTCTCTCTCTCTCTCTCTATATATATATATATATATATATATATATATATATATATATATATATATATATACAATGGGAGGAAACAAATATTCTTACTCATACAAATTTTTAATTTATTGTATTTATAACTAATGAATAAACATACTTTTCATATTAATATTATTAATTAATTAATTATGCACAGATGCATAATAACTAAATATGCGTAGAAAATAGAAAAATGATTTAATAGAAATAAATCCCATTTTAATGGGTGAAAAAAGTATTCGTACAATACAAATTTCAGATTTTAAAACTTTTAAAATGTCTTTAATATTCTAAATTATTCAAGTGGAATATTCTAGAATATTCCAGTCATGTTATCAGTAATCTAAATGCAAACAGAACATTCTGTAATTGATATTCGTGCAAGAAGGTTATCATTATTGCAAGAGATAAAGAAATGACAAATTCACAAAAAGAACTGATTGTTAAGCTCTGTAAAGAAGGTAACAGTTATAGGAAAATCTCAGACAACCTGAATATTCACTTTATTACCATTAATTCATTTATTGCAAAGTATGAAAGCTCAAAACTGTTAAAAACCAAAGAACAGGTGCTCCACGGCAGATGTCTTCAAGATCTTCGGGAAAATTAAAGCGTCAAATTAAACAAAATTTTGCTCGTTACTCGCTTACTGGTTACTCGTCAAGAGTTGCAGGATGATTTACTTTCATCAGGAATCTAGGAATCTGTGTCACTAAACAGATAATGAACAATGAAATTCATAGGAACAATCCTAAGGCACGCCCCCCTCGGAAAACTCCACTGCTGCTGAAAAGACACAGTGATGCCAGTTTGAAATTCGTTCGTGAACATAAGTATAAAGAAAATCATATTGGGAAAGGGTATTATAAACAGACGAAACCAAAACTGAGTTGTTTGGACGTAATTCAAGAAAGCATGTATGGAAGAAAAATGGCGATAACGGCAAACAAAAGAACATAGTTCAAACAGTAATATTTGGTAGTGACAGCGTCATGGTTTTTGGGATGATTTTTTCTACAAAAAGGTACTGGCAGCATATCAGTAATAGATGGTAGAATGAATGCCGCAGCATATCAAAACATTTTGGAAGCAAATTTAATGATTTCGGTTGAAAACCTTGAACTTTCTCCTGATTGAATCTTCCAACAAGATAATGATCCTAAACAGACTGCAAAATCTACGAAGAAATGGCTTGCTGAAAATAATGTAAATATCCTGAAATGGCCAAGTCAGTCCCCAGATTTAAACCCAATCGAGAATTTGTGGTGTTATTTGAAAATTCAAATCCAATCGAGAGCTCCAACATCCCAGATCTGAAAACCATATGCGAAGAAGAATGGAAAAAATACTAAAATTTGCAAATCATTGTGAACTACAAGAAGAGGTTGGTTGCTGCAGAAGTGAATAATGGCTATTCTACAAAGTATTAAATGAAGATTATTTATTCTTTTTTGTATTGTACGAATACATTTTTCGCCCGTTAAAATTGATAAATGGCATTTATTTCTATTATATCAAACTTATTTCTGTTTTCTTTGCATATTTAGTTATTATGCATCTGTGTACAGTTAATTATTTGAAAAGTATGTTTATTCATTAGTTGTAAATACAATAAATACAAAATTTGTATGTGTACGAATATTTGTTTCCATCCACTATATATATATATATATATATATATATATATATATATATATATATATATATATATAATTAAATTAGAGCGATAGATAGATAGATAGATAGATAGATAGATAGATAATGACCACCTTGAGACATAAAACTGATAGTCGAGAAGCAGTGTTGACTCTTATGTTTACACTGTCTATAATTATGAAATCTCCGGCATTGAGTATTTTTTCCCTATAAATATAGCAAATTTTAGACATTATATATATATATATATATATATATATATATATATATATATATATATGTGTGTGTGTGTGTGTGTGTGTTTCTGTGTAAGAAAGAAATGGTCAAAACATTGATAAGAATCCTCGAAGAGCCTCAAACTGAAAAATAATATTATTGCTCAACCCAGCTTTTGTTTTTAATCTAAGTTAACAATTACGAATTTATAAGAAAGCAAAATCGTTTCAGTATTTAAGGAAATGTCAATCTTTAAATCGTGTCGTGTTGAAAAGGATAAGATTAAAGATTAAAGATAAAAAGATCACAATGTCACAAACGTAACCAAGATAATCTTTACCTTCATTCAAGTTCTAATGTTCAATATTTGCTTTGTCTCAGCTTTTGATGAACTCGAGTGACCAGAAATAACGACCTTTCCAAACAGGTTCCTTCATTGACGATTGAAACATTTTAAAATGTCAGAGATATTTTCTTTGTAATTTTTTACGTCACAAAATAAATTCATTTGAATTAAATCAATAAATTTAGTTTATAATCATTAAAAAAAGCTTTATCCCTAAATAATCCTTTATCAAATAAAGAACAAAAATAAATTGATTTGTTCATCATATTTGTTTTTTAATTTATGCTTATCTACGTATGTATGAATATGTGTGTGTATAATTCATGTATATACACTACAGTTCAAAAGTTTGAGGCAACACTAAGAATTAAATTAGCATAGGATGAACTTCACAGAAGAATGAAATAAAATGAAAAAGAGCTGTTAGCGTCATTGAAAGAGAATTGGAATCAACTATGAAACTTTTGCAACGAATGCTAAAAATGCGTGCTGCAGTAATCAAGGCTAAAGGAGGATATTTTGACGAGAGCAAAATTTAATCATAAAATGCTTTTTTTTCTTTTTGTCATAATAAAATTTCGAATAAAAAGTCATGGTTCACTTTTTTAAACGTGTATAATAATTTTCTCTGATTTAAAGTATGAAACAGCTACGTTTAGGGCCAATTTAAAAGATTACTAGGAGTGGCCACAAATTTTTAAACTGTAGTGTATGTATGTATGTATGTATGTATGTATGTATGTATGTATGTATATGTCCGTGTATAGAGATAGATATATAATTAGAGCCGGTGCATACTACCTCCAAACCCCCTTACCAGGGGGAGCCGAGCCTGATTGTCGATCCCGGGCAGTGCTTTGTGACCCTCGCTATCTCATCAACATTTGCTTTCTTCTACCTACATTTATATATGTTACAAATTAATCTAAACAAAACTGACTATTAAAGGATTAACTTTTTTTTCTCGGATCTTGATGTCATTCTTGGTTCTGTTTTGTCGAAATCCGTGGATTTGTTTCGCTCATCCTAAGTCTAAGAAAAAAAAAACACTATATAAGATTCAATATTTTTATCCATAATGTTGAATATATTAAAATTATTTAACTTTCTAAAAAGAAAAAATATCTCAAGTTGATGTATAAATTGCTGCAAAACATTTGTAATTTATTTAAGATGAAGTAATCTGTTAGGACACATCTTTAATTTGTATTTAGATATATTGAATTTATTTTCAGTTTTTCTAGTTGAATTCTTCACCGACATTCTATATGATCCATTCTTCTTTTTTTATGTGTCGTGTCCCTTCAGGACGTAGGCGATCATGGCTCTCCACTTTCCCCCGTCCTTGTAATTCTCAATATGTTTTGTCCTTTTGCTACTTCTCCCAAACCCTGTTCTGTCATCCATTTGCTTAAGCTTGCTAGCTATGCCACGTGTTGCTTTCGCTTGTCTTTCTTTCCTTCTATCCGCTTTGTGAGTATCATATTCTCCAAGCCCTCCTTTCTCATTACGCGTCCCAGAAATTTCAGCTACCTCTTCCTGATACTAAATATAAACATCCTCTCCAAAACCTAATCGATATTCGGTCTATATTATCCTTAGCATCCTTCTGTAGAACCATACCTCCGTTGCCTCGAGTCTCTTCTTCATGTTTGAGATGACCGTCCAGCTTTCGCTGCCGTAAAGGAGGACAGATAACACGTAGCAGTTCAGTACTCTTTTCTTTGTTACCAACGAAATCCCCCAGTTTCGTAATATTCTACCTAGTTTTTGGAATGTGTCTTTGGCCATCCCAATATGTCTTCGGATCTCAGCGTCGCAGCGTCTACCTTATGAAAATTGAGATGTAGTAGAGTGTAGGTGCCCATATAATAGATTCGGAGGGGTCACAACACCCTAGCACCGGCCCTGGGTCTACGTAACAGTTTTCTGTTGAAATCTTTTCTTGCCATTTTAAAAAGTTGTTATGGGGTCCACCCCTTTTTCATATAAGTGGACTCGACCAGAGTGTTACTTGGACTGCTGCCGTTAAATACCCACAGTCAATCAGTATACAGGGAAGACTGAGATTGTGATTGAGTTGGAGGTAGAGTAATAGTGTGAGGTAACCGCTTGTTGAAGTCACAGTTACAATCCCGTAGACTCTAAGGAAGTCCTACTTCGAGACTATATCTATATAGATTATTATTACGACTAACCGCGTTCCTGGATTTACTAACAATATACCCATTGTATTATTGTGTAAATACATTTAATTTCTTATCTTTAATTCTTGCGTTTGTCATTCATTGGAGACCGAATTTCATCTCGGAATCCACAACAAAAGTAAAAGTCATAAATTTCAAGCAGTTTCGTCGTGGAAATCTTTTTAAAGAGAAGAGAAAAGACGATGCTAAATGAAAATCTACGTGCAAGCAAATTTGAAGTTGCGATTAATTTGCATCAGAAGTTTCGTTACATTTTCACATCCAATAAAAAAGTGCCGTTGTCCCAGAGACCATAGATTCAAGTTGATTCAGAACATTTTCACTGCCAACGTGACATACTAGTGAAACTACCTGTCCTCACCCCCATGATAGTGAGTTTGACATAAACTCAAAATTAACGTGATAATCTATATATGCACCAGGCATTGTAGTCAAAAATTGTCCAGTTTATTTATAACTTGATTTTTAAAATACTTCAAGCCTCAAGGAATAACCTTGCCATTTCAATTTTACGTGCAATGAGAATGGTAAAACCTGGAGAAAACCCTTAGAGCTGAACTTAAATTCTTCTAGGGTCTAGATCAGAGCCACGATGTCGCATGCGAATGAGGTAAGTAAACATATTTTCTGCCGCCTGCTGGGCACCAGTTTCACCTTCTTTCTCAGAAATGTAGAAAAAAAATTCCTTAGAAAGATTTAAATGATAGCTTAATTGTCAGATTGTCAAACAAAGCTAACTTCATTGTAAAATCAAACATCAGCGAGGATTAGACATACGTTCAATGACTTGCAAAATTAGCTCGCTGGCCACTGTATGACGACAAGTATTCTTTTTCAGCCATTGACGCAATACGCTTGGCCTGAAATGAAGTTGCTTTCGATTATACATTTCGTTGACATTAAGTGAAATGAAAAAGCTTAAGATTTCTTTAAAATTTAATTTTTCTAAAAATAAAAATGTCTAACTGTTACACTGCTATTGAATGCCGATGTCATATCTAGTCTGGTGTTATTGCTATGTATCTCGAGATTCTTGGCAACATTTAAAAAAGGGTCTGGCATATCGACTTCAATCAACTTTTCTCACCGACGTGATGTGACTTCTTTTTCTACAAATATTCTTGCATGGCACCTGTTCTGGTGAGCTTTTATTCTTAATGCCTCGACTTCATGAATTTAAGCGTACTACTAGATTGGCAACTAGGTCTCACTGTTTTACTGTTGAACTAGCTTGATGCAATCGCCATTTCCATTCTAACAGTTTCTTTTCTCGCACTTCTCTTCTGTGGAACTCGCTTGCGATTTCTTGCTTCTTTGCAGCCTACAATCTTCAAAGATTTAAACGCAATGTCAATCGCCATCTATCTTCCTGAACTCTGTTCAATTCTTGTCCTTTCCTCACTTTTCATCACTAAAGTCGTCTCATTCTCTTTCACTCTCTGTAATCGCCCTTCTGCGTCGTCCTAGTGGCCTTATCGCCTTGCTTGAGTGAAATGATAAAATAAAAGAATAAGACTTAGAAGTTAAATTTCTAAGTTCTCTTCTCAGTGACAACCAGTTCTCTTGTCACTTTATGTTTGCATTATGAGTAGGAAAAGTTGACTTTATCAGAAAAGAGATTTTTTTTCGAAGCAATCAATCGAGTAGAAGTTCAAGCATTTTATTATATGATACTTATTATATGATACTTATTATATGACACTTATTATATGACACTTATTATATGATACTTATTATATGATACTTATTATATGACACTTATTATATGACACTTATTATATGATACTTATTATATGACACTTATTATATGATACTTATTATATGACACTTATTATATGACACTTATTATATGATATTTATTATATGATACTTATTATATGATACTTATTATATGACACTTATTATATGACACTTATTATATGACACTTATTATATGATACTTATCCGTGAGTAAAAGCTGACGTTTATGGAAATTAGCGCCATCAGGAGTGAAATAAAAAAAATAAAAATAAGGTCCCGAATAAAGAAATATATATGTCAGTTTAAGTTTTCTCTGGCATATTTTGCATTGTATTGGATAGATAGATAGATAGATAGATAGATAGTGAAAAACTGAAATAGAGATAGTAGATAGATATTGAAAAAGCGGAAATATAGATAGATAGATAGATAGATACTGAAATAGAGATAGTAGATTATTGAAAAGCGGAAATATAGATAGATAGATAGATAGTGAAAACTGAAATAGTAGATAGATATTGAAAAGCGGAAATATAGATAGATAGATAGATAGTGAAAAACTGAAATAGAGATATAGATAGATATTGAAAAGCGGAAATATAGATAGATGGATAGTGAAAAACTGAAATAGAGATAGTAGATAGATATTGAAAAGCGGAAATATAGATAGATATAGTGAAAACTGAAATAGAGATAGTAGATAGATAGTGAAAACTGAAATAGAGATAGTAGATAGATATTGAAAAGCGGAAATATAGATAGATAGATAGATAGAAAAACTGAAATAGAGATAGTAGATAGATATTGAAAAGCGGAAATATAGATAGATAGATAGTGAAAAAACTGAAATAGAGATGGTAGATAGATATTGAAAAGCGGAAATATAGATAGATAGATAGTGAAAAACTGAAATAGAGATAGTAGATGGATATTGAAAAGCGGAAATATAGATAGATAGATAGATATGAAAAAACTGAAATAGAGATAGTAGATGGATAAAAAAAACAAAATATAGATAGATAGATAGATAGATGGATGGTGAAAAAAATTGAAATAGAGATATAGATGGATATTGAAAAGCGGAAATATAGATAGATAGATAGTGAAAACTGAAATAGAGATAGTAGATAGATATTTATAGATAGATAGTTAGTGAAAAACTGAAATAGAGATAGTAGATAGATATTGAAAAGCGGAAAGATAGATAGATAGATAGTGAAAACTGAAATAGAGATGGTAGATGGATATTGAAAAGAAATATAGATATAGATAGATAGTGAAAAACTGAAATAGAGATAGTAGATAGATATTGAAAAGCGGAAATATAGAGATAGTAGATAGATATTGAAAAGCGGAAATATAGATAGATAGTGAAAAACTGAAATAGAGATAGTAGATAGATATTGAAAAGCGAAATATAGATAGATAGTGAAAAACTGAAATAGAGATAGTAGATAGATATTGAAAAGCGGAAATATAGATAGATAGATAGTGAAAAACTGAAATAGAGATAGTAGATAGATATTGAAAAAGATAGATAGATAGTGAAAAACTGAAATAGAGATAGTAGATAGATATTGAAAGAAATATAGATAGATAGATAGTGAAAAACTGAAATAGAGATAGTAGATAGATATTGAAAAGCGGAAATATAGATAGATAGATAGTGAAAAACTGAAATAGAGATAGTAGATAGATATTGAAAAGCGGAAATATAGATAGATAGTGAAAAACTGAAATAGAGATAGTAGATAGATATTGAAAAGCGGAAATATAGATAGATAGATAGATAGATAGATAGTGAAAAACTGAAATAGAGATAGTAGATAGATATTGAAAAGCGGAAATATAGATAGATAGATAGATAGTGAAAAACTGAAATAGAGATAGTAGATAGATATTGAAAAGCGGAAATATAGATAGATAGATAGTGAAAAACTGAAATAGAGATAGTAGATAGATATTGAAAAGCGGAAATATAGATAGATAGATAGTGAAAAACTGAAATAGAGATAGTAGATAGATATTGAAAAGCGGAAATATAGATAGATAGATAGTGAAAAACTGAAATAGAGATAGTAGATAGATAGTGAAAAACTGAAATAGAGATAGTAGATAGATATTGAAAAGCGGAAATATAGATAGATAGATAGATAGTGAAAAACTGAAATAGAGATAGTAGATAGATATTGAAAAGCGGAAATATAGATAGATAGTTAGTGAAAAACTGAAATAGAGATAGTAGATAGATATTGAAAAGCGGAAATATAGATAGATAGATAGTGAAAAACTGAAATAGAGATAGTAGATAGATATTGAAAAGCGGAAATATAGATAGATAGATAGATAGTGAAAAACTGAAATAGAGATAGTAGATAGATATTGAAAAGCGGAAATATAGATAGATAGATAGATAGATAGATAGTGAAAAATTGAAATAGAGATAGTAGATAGATATTGAAAAGCGGAAATATAGATAGATAGATAGTGAAAAACTGAAATAGAGATAGTAGATAGATATTGAAAAGCGGAAATATAGATAGATAGTTAGTGAAAAACTGAAATAGAGATAGTAGATAGATATTGAAAAGCGGAAAGATAGATAGATAGATAGTGAAAAACTGAAAATAGAGATAGTAGATAGATATTGAAAAGGAAATATAGATAGATAGATAATAAAAAACTGAAATAGTAGATAGATATTGAAAAGCGGAAATATAGAGATAGATATTTGAAAAGGAAATATAGATAGATAGTGAAAAAACTGAAATAGAGATAGTAGATAGATATTGAAAAGCGAAAATAGATAGATAGATAGTAAAACTGAAATAGAGATAGTAGATAGATATTGAAAAGCGGAAATATAGATAGATAGATAGTGAAAAACTGAAATAGAGATAGTAGATAGATATTGAAAAGGGAAATATAGATAGATAGATAGAAAAACTGAAATAGAGATAGTGATAATATTGAAAAGCGGAAATATAGATAATAGATGATGAAATAGAGATAGTAGATAGATATTGAAAAGCGGAAATATAGATAGATATAGTGAAAAACTGAAATAGAGATAGTAGATAGATATTGAAAAGCGAAATATAGATAGATGATAAAAACTGAAATAGAGATATAGATAGATATTGAAAAGCGGAAATATAGATAGATAGATAGTGAAAACTGAAATAGAGATAGTAGATAATATAAAAAGAAATATAGATAGATAGTGAAAAACTGAAATAGAGATAGTAGATAGATATTGAAAAGCGGAAATATAGATAGATAGATAGATAGATAGATAGTGAAAACTGAAATAGAGAGATAGTAGATAGATATTGAAAAGCGGAAATATAGATAGATAGATAGATAGTGAAATAGAGATAGTAGATAGATATTGAAAAGCGGAAATATAGATAGATAGATAGTGAAAAACTGAAATAGAGATAGTAGATAGATATTGAAAAGCGGAAATATAGATAGATAGATAGTGAAAAACTGAAATAGAGATAGTAGATAGATATTGAAAAGCGGAAAGATAGATAGATAGATAGATAATAAAAAACTGAAATAGAGATAGTAGATAGATATTGAAAAGCGGAAATATAGATAGATAGATAGATAGATAGATAGTAAAAAACTGAAATAGAGATAGTAGATAGATATTGAAAAGCGGAAATATAGATAGATAGTTAGTGAAAAACTGAAATAGAGATAGTAGATGAATATTGAAAAGCGGAAAGATAGATAGATAGATAGATAGTGAAAAACTGAAATAGAGATAGTAGATAGATATTGAAAAAGGAAATATAGATAGATAGATAGATAGTGAAAAACTGAAATAGAGATAGTAGATAGATATTGAAAAGCGGAAATATAGAGATAGTAGATAGATATTGAAAAGCGGAAATATAGATAGATAGTGAAAAACTGAAATAGAGATAGTAGATAGATATTGAAAAGCGGAAATATAGATAGATAGATAGTGAAAAACTGAAATAGAGATAGTAGATAGATATTGAAAAGCGGAAATATAGATAGATAGATAGTGAAAAACTGAAATAGAGATAGTAGATAGATATTGAAAAGCGGAAATATAGATAGATAGATAGTGAAAACTGAAATAGAGATAGTAGATGAAAACTATAGATAATAGATGGATGATAGAAAAAAGAAATAGAGATAGTAGATAGATAAAAAGCGGAAATATAGATAGATAGATAGTGAAAAACTGAAATAGAGATAGTAGATAGAATATTGAAAAGAAATATAGATAGATAGATGAAAACTGAAATAGAGATAGTAGATAGATGTTGAAAAGCGGAAATATAGATAGATAGATAGATATAGATAGATGAAAAAACTGAAATAGAGATAGTAGATAGATGAAAATATAGATAGATGGATAGATAGTGAAAACTGAAATAGAGATAGTAGATAGATATTGAAAAGCGGAAATATAGATAGATGGATAGTGAAAAACTGAAATAGAGATAGTAGATAGATATTGAAAAGCGGAAATATAGATAGATAGATAGATAGTGAAAAACTGAAATAGAATATAGATAGATATTGAAAAGCGGAAAGATAGATAGATATAGTGAAAAACTGAAACAGAGATAGTAGATATATTGAAAAGCGGAAATATAGATAGATAGATAGATAGATGAAAAACTGAAATAGAGATAGTAGATGAATATTGAAAAGCGGAAATATACATAGATAGATAGTGAAAAACTGAAATAGAGATAGTAGATAATATTGAAAAGCGGAAATATAGATAGATAGATAGATAGTGAAAAATTGAAATAGAGATAGTAGATAGATATTGAAAAGCGGAAATATAGATAGATAGATAGTGAAAAACTGAAATAGAGATAGTAGATAGATATTGAAAAGCGGAAATATAGATAGATAGATAGATAGATAGTGAAAAACTGAAATAGAGATAGTAGATAGATATTGAAAAGCGGAAATATAGATAGATAGATAGATAGATAGATAGTGAAAAACTGAAATAGAGATAGTAGATAGATATTGAAAAGCGGAAATATAGATAGATAGATAGATAGATAGATAGATAGATAGATATTGAACTATTATTAGGGGGTCGCTCCTGTATAAGTCAATGTCTTTTTGGTTAATGATGATGTGTTTTAATTTATTGGTGATGTATATGCGTGCATATTTTATGCAAGTATGTATGCATGTACGTTATATGAAATAATGCAACCAACTAAAAAATACATATACAGTTAATACAAACACACACACAAACGCACAATACAGTTAACACGAACACACACAACGCACATACACGAACACACAATTATACACGTGCGGGTGAGTGTGTGCGTACTTGCTTGTGTATGTGTATAAGTGCAGGCGTTCACATACATAGGCACGCGCATAAACACACAAAACACACCGGTACAAAATTCCGACCAGAACCGAAATTAAATGGTGAGCAATAAACTAGAGACCAATGAAGAAGGAGGAGAAATAAGAGAAATCAGCAATCATTCAACACGAAAGGAAATAAATAACACACTCATACCAATAAAAGTATATGAGAATCGAGAAATGACAGCAGATTAACTCTATACATACATAGCCACGAAACTCCGAAGTAAACATGAGTTAAATAAAAAAAAACTTTTTATATTAATTCTATTAATACTCGATCTCTATCTTCGATATTGAACACTCTACCACAAAGCCTTGCTTGCCTTAAATGCCTATTAGCAAACACTTGAAAAATCAGCAATTTTGGCTTCAAAAACAGTATTTCAAATTAACAATATATATATTTTCAAATTAAGAATATATATATATATATTATTTATATGAAAATTATAACATAAAGATGTTATAAAATCACAACAAAAATAGCCATTTTGTAGTGATTTTATAACATGTTTATTTTATAATTTTCGTATAAATTATATTTGCTCTACCCTGTATTGAGCACTCTTATAAGAATCGTATTTTTGGTTAATGCAATTTATTCCGTATACACCAATCCTATACTTGTACATTAATAAATATACATATAATCTCTCACTGTTAGCACGACTCAGAGTTTCATTGACAACAACACACACACACACACACACACACACACACACACACACATATATATATATATATATATAACAGAGATAATTAGATAAATAAAAACAGATAGATATAGACAGACTTAGATAAACAGGTAGATAGATGTGCACATTTATCTAGGTTTATTATTCATTTATTATATACGTATATTGGATGTAAGGGTAGCATTGCAGTTATCGGTGTGGAAAGGGGAACTGACGTGCCGAGTTGAAATTCCGGCGTCTCCACTTTTGCATTAATGGCCTGGAATACATCCATGAGATCTCCCTTCTCCCAGCTATGGATTAATTAACAGACTACGCTGGGCTCTCAGCTTTGCGGGGACAAACAGTTTAGCAGAGAAACTACACTGAATTCAAAACCGTGTAGAAGTCGTAGTAATTTACGGAAGATAAAGCAAAGGAATGTGTGGAGAGTCATGATCGCCTGCATCTTAAAGCGACATGGCATTAAAAATGATATATATCTATATTAGCTATATCAAAAACTGATATTCATAATGATAAATCGTGTTTATACATACATACATACATACATACGCACACACACACACACATATATATATATATATATATATATATATGTGTGTGTGTATATATACAATGTATATGTATATATATCAATGGATTTTGTTTATTTGACGCTAAACATTATTTTGTGGGTACACACTGTTTAGAAAAACAGGTTACTACTCAAACATAGGTATCCGCAAATTAATACACACACACACTATATATATATATATATATATATATATATATTGCTTCAAACGTTATTTTAGTGAATATTTCGTATTTGAAATAGGTGGCCCATTTTTATTTATTAACGATTTGAAATAAACAGAGTCCACTATGATAACGTACGTTTGAAGTAAGTAAAAGTTCGGATTATAAAATAAATCCATTAACTCTTTATACACACACTCCCCCCCACACACATGCATATATATATATATATATATATATATATATATATATAATAATAAATGTTCCCAATCTCTATACAAATTTGACAAGTGCTGTCAGTGCATAATCGCTTTTACAACTTGGTCAGGAAATTAGTCATATGAGAATGATTTGCTCCTATCTCAACTGAATCAATATCCTTTCCTACATTCCGTTAACCATTTTAGCGTACCAGCGATGATGTACTGAGAGGACACATAACGGTAGCTCACTGTAAAAAGAAGACGATTTATGCCTTTGAAAATGGCATTCGTGAGACCTGAGCAACTTTTAGTCTTAATTCTAATGCCTTTTCCCTATTCAATAAACGTTATTCTGTTTTACATATCTAATCCATCAATTTAATTATATAGATACTTATTAAGATTAGCCCGTGATGGTATTAAAAGAACATATGTGAGAAAGATTACATTGCGCCAGTCTTTCAAGTAAAGAAGAGCTTTTAAAGAAAACGGGAATTAAATCTACAGTGATTTTCTAAGCGAATCTTAGATGTGCCACAAGGCCGAAAGTATGGCATATGAGGATCGAACTCACTGTTCAATCGAGACAAGCTTGTTAACCATTACACCATGTCGAGAAATAAATGTATGATGCGTTAATCGATCTTAACTAATGGAAATAATTAAATGCTGATGCGTGCAGCTAATGACGCAGTCCGTCGTCTGATTATCTCCTCTTTGAAAAGACGCCATTTCAAAATGGCTTCTCTACTGAGATTAACACAACATGTTTCTTGTAAATGTGCCGTTTTTACACTTATTCGTGTATTGTGATAAATATTTTGACATAGAATTGGAAAAATGAATACCCTCACGCAAATGATTGCAGATTTCAGATAAGTATTTAGTTTCACGCAGAAAAGTATTTATATTATTTGGGTATTTTAAATGTTACAATTAATCGAATCCTCTGTGTGTTAAAATGCAAATGATTGAATTATGATAGCCCCTAGAAAGGTAAACTTAGAAATTTACTATTTACCAAGATTGAAAAACCGATGAAAGGCGCTAAACCTAGTGTCGCCCACATTCCAGTTACCAACCAAACTTTGCAGATATTTGCTGCACGGGGATAACACTGAAAAGAATACCTGAATAAGTTGATTTAATCATAGCTTGGTGCCCGTTTTTTATAGGATTTGTCTGTCTTGCTCTGTCTTAACTACTTTGCAAGAGACATTATCGCCCAGGAATCATTTCTTAGCCAACGTAGACACATATTTTTGTTTATTGTCTTGTTGGAAGGTACACTGGTTTTTCAGCCAAGGATTTTCGGTAAACTGTTTGACGCATTGACACAAAGTCTGAATATACAGTTCTTTCTTCATGGCCCCATCCACTTTAATCAGGCTGCCGGTCTCTCAGCCTGAAAAAAATCATCTCCACAGTATAATGCTACCACAACCATACTTCACTGTTAGATTAATTCCTTTTTCACCCCAAAAGTTAATGTCTTTGTATCCAAGAAGCTCAGATTTTATCCATCTGTCCAAAACATTGATAAGTAAAACATTGAATTCTTGTCAATATGACACATAGGAAAACTAGATGTTTTACGCGGCTCATTTGGAGTCTTCTTTGGTTGTCTGCCCGCTTTATGTAAAGTTCCGAGGAGTGTCTGGAAATATATTTTGTCACCAGAATCATTCAATCTAACCACAATAGCCTTAGTGATGATATTTAAATTATTATAGAGGTCTCTGGTGAATCTCTTGCCAAACGTCCTTTGAGGAGGTTTTTCACAGTGCGGACATTTTTGAATTTCATAATCCTTTGAACTGTTGGAATTGGTACTTGAAATTACTTGAATATGGTTTTGTAGATTCTTCCATTATCATAAGCAGATACAATCTATAACCTGAGGCCTTCACTAAATTCTTTAATCTTAACAATGGCGACAGATTTCCTTCTGATAAGAAATGATGAAGTTTTCAAATTCGACCTTCTGTTCGCCCTGAAGCACACGCTACTGCACTGCCGTACCAATTCTACAGTTGCATTTGCTTTAAAGAAAATAAGAAAACTCTCAAATGAGAGGAAGAAAACTCAGCTCCATTCATTTATCTTTCCTTTCTATTCTGTAAAATATAACTGTGAATAATTTTAAACATGGCGACTGTGATCAAATTGCAAGTAATACTTTAGTGTAATGCAGTTTTTCTCCATATTCCTTATATATTCCTTCTTGAACTCTTCTTTCTTTATGAATAAACTTAACTGTATATAGGGAGTAACAGATAATGGCTCGGTTTGCGGAATCGGAGAGCCGAGTTCGAATTCCAGTCGAGTTCGTTGCATTCATTTACGTGCAATAACCCTTGGGGAAATTGTGAAGTCATCTCTTCTAAGCTATGAGTAAATAGTAGAACAGACTGGGTCCTGTAGCATTGGGTGGCAAATCGTTTAGGAAAAGGACAACACTGAATTCAAAATCTGAGGAGGGTCGTTTGCGGAACTCTGTGCACCAATTCTCTGCATTCGACTCTTCCAAAATAGTCAAAACATATGTACAGATAGTCTTCGGGTCTAAGAACTGATCTGCTGGACCCTCAAACGTCAAACACTGATAGAAGTCTCCACCATATATATATATATATATGTGAGAGAGAGAGAGACCCTCTTCAGCTCTTTTCTACGTCTTTCCAAAGGAACAGCTCAGCGTTCCGGATCTTCCAAATGATTTAATTCACGCTCTTGAATGATATGACTCTCATTGATTGATTGATTGATTCGCTTTCTACGGCTTATCAACCGTTTGCAGATTGTTTTAAGTTTGTAAGATTTAAAAAAATAATAATAATCGTTTAGTGACACGCGTCTTATTAATTAGCCCATAGAGAGGGGAGAAGAAGTAAATTCATACCTTCCCTTAGGGTATGTTCGCGTAAGTCTAAGAGTATTTGCGCGTTGGGTTTATTGCAACACCAAAAATGGAAAAGTAGCTCTCCGATTAACAATTCCGAGCCATCATCCATTACACCATCCGCATATCTAAGCTTAAAGCAGCTGGTATTTCCAAGAGGTCACCCATCTAAGTACTGACCAGGATCAACGTTGGTAAAATTCGGTGAGCGTATGTGATGTGACCGTAAGCCCATATGATTTATTTGTTTCTCCACTATACACAGATTGCAATTTCATAGATTTCATGGTAATTTAAATATATTTAAAATAAATCATTCTTATAAGCATAAAAATTCAATATGCAACTCGTATATATATATATATATATATATATATATATATATATATGTGTGTGTGTATGTGTGTGTGTGTGTGTGTGTGTGTGTGTGTGTGTGTGTGTATATAACACTTTAACACTTTCACCCCAGCCTCTCAACCTCCGACGTCTTACTCTCTGGGCTCGGTCTTAACTGAACTTAAGGGAATGGCCGTAGGTGCCCTGAGCCTCCGTAGATCATTCGACCGGTCCACTGGTTTATCCTGCTTCCTGCCCACATTGTGTTTGGTTTGATCCAGAAAGCAGAAGTGATGTACATTCATCCACGGTCGACTGAAGATGTAGACACGGCTGGAGTGTCTGTGCTAAGAAATTTAGAATGCAGCAAAAAAAAAAAAAAAATTAATATCTGCAGAAAGCTGGACAAACAACTATTCAATGATTGAATTGTTAATGTCTTTTATATAGCAGAAAAGAATAATATAGAAAAGAAAACGGGTTACAGAAAAGAAAAGTAATTGACGTAAAAATGCATACACTGGATTCTGGACAGAGCGAGAGAGTGTGTGTTATGATTAACTTGTTGTTAAATCGTCTCAGAACGATATACGACTCTTGCGATGTGGGAATAAGATTTCTGTGTACGGCTTAAAGTTTATAGTGGCGTTCCTCTTTAGCAGTAGTAACAGTAGTAGTGATATTCGTGGTAGCAGAAGCAGCGGTACTTATATCAACAGTACATGTTAGCGGACGTTTCGTTCCAATTTCTGACTTCACTTTCAATCTCCGATATCTCTCCACCCAGACTGCACTCGACGGTAGACGAGCCAACCACTCTGATTATTGTAGCTTGTGCGACGTTTCCGTTTCCAATGGTAGTAATAACAGTAGCAGTAGCAGTCCAAGATGTTGGAGGAGTAATTCGCTTCTTCGTACTTAGATCAACAAAATATGTTAGCAGGCGTTTGCTTCCAATCTCTGACGCCACTTTCAATCTCTGATATCTCTCCTCCCAGCTCGACTGCAGTCGACGACAGACGAGCCAACAACTCTCTCGAAAAGATTTCTGTAGCACCGCGATCCGTAACGGTCTCCTGTAGGTGCCCACACACGTGACAGCATGCAGCGACGACGACGTGCCGACCGATCGCGGCCTCTGCCGTCTGCCTCTCCCGTCTGCCTCTTCTTCAGCATAACTACGCGTTTATATAGATAAATCTGGTTGATCATAAATCGACCCTTGGCCCGCACGCGATTATCACAGGTGCTACCTTCAACACAAAATCATGTGAATTTCAAAGTTCCTCATAGCTTTAGTAAGCCCTATTTTAAATTTTAACCGATAAAAATTATTTCGACCATCTGCCATTGTCTTTCTAATGACCCAATTACAAATGGGCGAGATCCGATTTCCCATCAGCAAACAAAATTGTTCTGATCTAATTTCGCTACTCAGATTCACTCCAATTTCCAAAAAAAATTACGTGTGTGTCTTTACCAAACTCTCTTTTGCACACACACATATATATATATTTATTAAAGACATTTTTATGTTTAACGTTGTTATTTATAGATACAAGTATTTAAGCAAATGCTCTGTTTATGATAAACAGTATGAAATAACATTTACCGGCCTGAATGTCCGAGAAATTTTCATAGAAAATATTCGTTCTTTGACAGGATTCGAACCTGCATCCTATACGGAACCGTCATTTATGCTGACGTGCCTTGACCGCTCGGCCACAAAGAACCTTTCGGTAGACAAGGTCGAATTTACTGCTTATAAACTTCAATCTTCCATTTTTTAAATTTTTTAAAATATTTATGACAGTTAGATTTAAGTTAGGAATATCCGAAGAGTGACGTTCCATATCACGTGACGTCTTGCTAACAAACAAACAGTAATTTTAATTTATTTGTAACAAACAGTTATTTCTGATGAAAAATTAAGGACAATTTGAAATATCAAATATATATATATATAAATAAATAAATACTTTCATAAAATAAAACATTATAATTTTTAATTTGAAACCTTTTCTATATATATATATATATATATATAGTGTGTGTGTGTGTGTGTGTGTGTGTGTGTGTGTGTGTGGAATCGCTCATCTTCAAAAAGTCTCCTGTCTTCCTAGCTCTCTTCGAAATTAATCTTAACTCCTTAATCCTCTCCTCTGATTTCTCGATTCTTGACTATCTTCCTCTCTTTAGGGAGGACTTTAATGTCTACATACATGGCCTGGGACTTTATATTTGCGAGCATCACTCGCTGGCAAGGGAACGCTCTCTTGAATCTCCGGACCATTCTTACATGTGTCTCTGTCTCTCTCTACTAAACTCAATCATCTATCTTTTTTTCACTACTGTCCCCTTTCTTATTTGTGTTCGGTGCCTTAAATCTCGCCATGACAGTTGGCTTAAATACTCTGTCACTGATCTTGCTGGCACCAAACCTTGAATTTCTCAACCATTTCAATCTCTCAAGCAAGTGGTGGACTTTCCCATGCGTTTCCCCAGTAACCCCGATGGACACGCTTCTCCTCTAGATCTCTTTTTTACCTTTATCCCTGACTATGCAGCTCTACCCTCTTGGCAGCTCTGATCATATAGTAGTAAGAGTAAACGTCTCTTTCCGCTCTCCCACCAGCTAAGAATCTCCTATCAACAGAATATCTTTCTGTTATCAACGTGCGAATTAGGACTCGTTCCGTGATTTACTTCGTGACATCCCTTGAAGTTTTTAATCATCCTGTTCAAAAATGCGCGCCTGAGGTCTCCTCCCGTGTGAAAGTAAATCGCGTTCTGTGTTCTCCCTTGCATGCTCGGCCGCTATAGCCTACAGA